CTTGTCCGGTGGACGACGAGACAATTTCACAGCACCAAGAGTGACGAAGTCGCTGAGGAGATCCGAGATGGAATGGAACGCATCGGCCACTAGCGAGGCGCTACCACTACTGATGCCGGCCCCCAGTTTGAACGTACTAAGGCCGACGTTGCTCGCCAGGCCGACCCAGGTGACTCTGGAGCACGCCTTCTCAGCTTTGGCATCCTCCTTGCTCATGGGCCCCCCATTTAGGGGAGTGACGAAGGCTTGAGTATTATGAAAGCGAACCAGTGTTTTCATACTACCACAGCGTGTTGAAGATCCGACGCACCGCACGAACGGCTGAAGACTAAAGCCGTCCAACGCCGGTCGTAGTAACGGAAACGCAGCAAACATTAGAAAATGAATTCTGCGGAAATACAAATACGATCAGGATAGGCTCATCGACACATACTATTCCGGGATGAGCAGATTTCGAAATTTTATATTCATCACTAGGGCGTATTTCATGCTCCCTCCAGAGACTCGTTTTCCATAGAGAATTGATTTAGTTTCTAGCTGAACGAAACTCGCTGATATTAGAATTGATAAACACGAAAACATGACCAGATGTCACGACCTGGCTTCATATAAATCAGGCCTTGTTAAAATCGATAACGACGCATTGTCGATCATGCCGGTGGGAACCGGTTCCAGAGGACGACTAATCTGACTACCCTCCCGATGTGGCTACATCCCTTCTCCGAAACACTCCTTTGTTTCTGTGATTTTACTGCTATCGGTAGTACTTCATCGGCAGTGGCTGCAATTGGTTCACCCGACCATACCCCATATATCCCCACGAAGAGCTCGAGGAGTGGTACGTAGTACTTCAATACGACTTGTAGACTCTAGCCCTCCAATAGAACAACGAACATCGCGACTTTAGTATTCCAATACCTTTACCTAACCTCTGAGCCCCTCCCCCACGAGGGAGGCTTCAGGCCGGCTGAAGTCGTCGACGAGGCCAAACTAGACGACAGTACGAAGGCCACAGAAGGAGGCTTTAATACCCCTGCTCAGCGCCGACGAGGACAGGTCCTGGTCGAGCGGAACGGTGGTCTAAGTAACCGAGAGAGGCCAGAAGATCGCAGCGGAGCAACACGACGTAGATCTAGGGGGGAGGAGCTGCACTTACCTGTGGCCGTCACACTGGGGTGATGATGGTGACAGCCACAACATCACCTTTCTGATGTACCCACACTCGGCCGAATGCCTATGAGCCTATCCCCTTCGGATCTCGCTAGAAGAGAGCCCTGCGCTTGTCTAGGGAGGAGGGGCTGCAAGCATAGACCCCATAGGCTCCCCCGAGAGAGAGTAAAGCAGAAGGCCCTCTTCCTCCCATAGGACCTCTCTAAGGAGGGTCGTCAAGCCGACCAAACGCGAATGTGGCCCTTCCCCAACTCAACACCATTAGGAAGTAGTAGTAAACTTGGTACGTTCGTGGACCAGCCAGCTCCTCCTACGCGAACTTCACGCGCTTCGTAGATTTCTTCTTCTTTTTCTTCGGCTCCTCCACGGCCGGCGACTCTTCCTCGTTACTATCGACCTTACTCCGACGTTTGCGTCGGTGATGCCCGCCAGCCTTCCCCCCATCAGCCTTATCGGCAACAGAGTCGGCCGTGAGCATCTCCGTACAGGCCGAGGTGATACGACAGCCGCTATCAACACTAGCAACACCAGCGAGCTCACCAGCAGCCAGCTGCCATAATATAAACCGACCATCGGAGCACACTGTGACGACCAGAGTGAGATCCTCCTCATCCACGGCTACCATCACCCCTTTTACACGACTACCGTGTGCAAAGCTGGACTCCTCCTCCTCCTCCTCGTCGTCTCCATCAGCAGGATCAACCGTACTTTCCTCTACTAGGTCCCCATTGGTGGCCACTCTGAGGACGACCAGACACCCGTTGGCCTTCCCTGCGATGAGGCGACCGTCGACGAAACACATGCTCGAGAGCAAAGCGTCGCTTTCATATGGCGCAGGAAGGGAGGAGCCCTCCCCACCTGGGTGGTCGGAAACGGACAAGACTTGAATCTTTCTGTTCATCATGATAGCGTATCCTTCCTTGCCCTCTCCCAGAGTGACCCACTTCACGTCTCGAATAGGCTCCGTAAATTTACTAACGGCTGCGCAGGTGCCCCTAGTGAGGTCCCACATCCTGAGCTCGCCAGCTCCAGCAGAGAGGGCCAAACGCCCACTAGGGTGGATGGCGATCGCCTCGACCCCTCCCTCCGAGTGAGCTCGGAAGGACTTCAGTACTCGACAGTCCGATAGACGTGTGAGAGATATTTTACCGTCGGCTCCGCCAGATAGGATGCATTGACCGCTGAAAAGAAAACGGGGATGGTGCCGACCCGATCCGGATATGAAGTGGCCGAGGAGTGGTATGACCCCCAATGCTATAAGCCTACCTAGGAGTAGCAGCGAGAGCGGTAACGCTACTCTCGTGGACATCTAAGGAGCCCTTAGCCTGACGTTTGGTGGTATCGTATAAACGTATGGCCTCATCAGTGCCACCAGTGGCCAGCAGCCCTCCCTTACCCGCACAGCATACCTTGACGGCACCCAAGTGGGAAGCGAACCCAAAGACCTTCACAAAGGAGAAACTACTGCGGTCATCACGTGGTCGGTACTGCTACTACCTGCTTCAGCTCGTATCCTTCCTCGCCATCTACCTCCACCTTACGCACGTCCACGCCCAGCAAGGCACCATCGTAGGTGCCTGCACTGACTAGGGCCACCGTCCTCCCTTCGAGTGGTAGCGGCTCTGTTGTCATATGAGTAACAAAGCTGAGGAGATGTTATGCTTGAGAAAGGAAATCAATTCGGAATGTGACGGCTGTGCATGGCAAACTGTGGGGGCACTCCACCGAGTGTCACCGAATAGAAAGTGGGGACACTCCATTGAGTGTCACCGAATAAAAAGTGAAACCTGCGTAAATAGCAAGATAGCAAGACTCTAGACTGCGCGCCTACCAACAGAGACATTTCCCACATTCAACAGCACGCGAGTGTCAATGGCGTCAATTCCTCAACGCCAGCTTGGGGTGTCTAGAGGTAACCATATGGGGATGGAGTCTTTTGTCTCTTCACCAGTGCTGTCTTTAATGGTCCACGTCGTCAGTCCAACTCGGGAAGATCACCTTGCAGGTAGTAGTGTTTCTGTTATCGATGCCTTTGGGGGGAAGTTGCCTCAGTAGGCACTGTCAGCCTAG